AGACTATGACATGTTGTTAAGTACAACGGTGAATATTAAATAATTACTATTAAATAATAATAGTAATTATAGTGTATCTCGTAAAAAGATGTGTGTGGTTGATTAAAACAATACAAACGAGGTGATTTAATAATAATAACGTCAAAATATAAAATTAACAAAATAATGCTTAGCAAAACTTGTTAAGGATGTTAAATTATGGATTTAATTAGTTAAAGTTTAGTTTAGGTCATCACTCATCCCTCGTTTGTATAAAATATATATCTCAAGTTGATAATTTTTTATAAAAGCGATAAATTATAAAATATGCATGTCTAATTAAATATATTGTTATTATTATGGTTAACTAGTAGGTGGTACGAGTCGTTAAAAACTTTGGTCTAATCATATTTATTACATAGAGTGTAATAATCGGATAGTATGGTGACGCTGGGAGCAGTTATTATCCGTTTTATAGTATAATGTACGTATTTTCCTTCACATCATGCGGGAGAATAATCTTTGAGGCTTTTAGTTTTACTTTTTATAATAATAATAATAATAATAATAATAGACACTAGGTCAAAGTACTTAAATATTTCTCGTAGAATACTGTATTCTGTATTTTTAATCCTAATAATAGTAGTACAACAGTGGAAAGTACCTTAATTTAGAGCTATGGATATTTAATTTATTAATAACAACGTGGTTAGTTTAGTTTAGTTTAGTTTTCCTGTTTGTAATTTTTAATTCTACTACAAACTTGTTGATAGTTGGTTAAAGTTCTTACAATTGGCTAAATTATAGTTGTACCATGAATCAAGTAAAATGGCTAATGTAATTGTAATGCTCAATGTCTAATATATCTAATGTCTAACGACATAGGTTTTATCAACAGCAAAAACCACCCCTTAAGTTATTAATCACTGATCTTAATCACCGGTGGTATTATTCTGAAAATAAATTTTCAGCAATATTATTAAAACTCAGTGATTTTATCACGTATTACGCGGTCGATTTAAATTTAGATTTGCATAATTACTTTTTATTATTTAGCTCAGTAAATAAAATAAAATAAAATAATTATTTTTAAAAGTTTCTTCTTTTTTTTTTGTCTGAGAGAAAAATTTCCACGGAGTATGTATGAGCAATTTATAATAATAAACGTTTATTATCGTATTATCGTATTCTCGTATTCTCGTGTCCATTTTGGAGTAACGTCCAATCATATCTCAATAGTTTATCGATTTATCGTCAGCATTTCAATGTCTAGTGCTAGTGATATGATAAATTTTACCGTATAATAGTGAGTGTTAGGTGTAGTCGCGTTGTCAATATACTATTTATGCTATTATTATAAGTGGACGTTGGTATAAGAAGAGAGAACATTGTTAGTCTAATTTATATTTCACTCTACTATATTCATTTGTTGCCCTTTTGTAACAAAATGATCAATGTATAATTTTATTATAAAAAAAAAGAGCCAAACAATAAATTAATAATACAAGGGAAATGAAAAATTGAATCCACAATTTAAACTTATGTTGACCTCTAGCGGGTTAAAAAAAATGAAATAAAAGAAAAAAAAAAAAAAGTTACGAACTTGGTTGGATTATTCTTGAATCAATCATGTCCAAGTTGAACAGTGGTACTTGAATTATCCCTTTCTTAATCGGCTTAAGATTATTTTCATTCTACCTAGAGCTTAATTCGTTACCGACTTGAGAAAATTCTCAAGAAATTTCACCTCTTGATTCATTTGGGATTACATCCAACGAATACTTCCAAAATTTAGTTTTATTTAGCTCCATCTGTGTTTTATTTATTTATTTCCCTAACAAATAATAACCTTAAGATATTATTTCTATTATTAATGTAAAAAAAATATAATGATAAAAGTTTATCTTACAATTAAATGGTGAAAATTAATTTATAAATTTTGTTTTAATTATAAAACTAAATAATAATAATAATAATTAAGTTTTAACTAAAAATAAATATTAAAAAGTTGATATAGGCAGTAGGAGTATGGTAGCGGTATAAGATAATTAAAGAGAACGCGAAACGAATTTTAATTCGAGTTTGGATTTTAGTGGTTTAACTTTAGGAAAGTATAGTCGTAGATGTAGATGTAGGTGATGCCTTAGGCTTTCAGTAGACCAGCTAAAACTATGAGCTTTAACAACTTACGATTAATAGCGATCCACTTATTTTATTCTCTCAAGTTTTCTGAACAAACGAGTAGACGGTACCGACGATTCTTACAACCGTGGCCGCAATCAACCAGTCTATACCATAGTCTATGCGGTATCAACTTTTCTAATTGCTTTTATTTATATATGTATTATAAAATAAATTTATTCTCTAATTAATAAAAAAATCTAACAATGAATGAGTAACGTTGATGAAAATTATAATTTTTTAAATCCACAGACAAATAATTATAATTATTGTCGTCAACATAAGACGAGTATACTAACTCTGTATTGAAATAATATTGTATATCTGCTCGGTAAACTTAAATTAATCAGGCCATCAGTAGTATTAATTGTCTAACAATAGAAGACTTTACTTACTTAACTTTTTAGCGAAACTCAATTTACGAGAAACGATAATAAAATGCCTCCAGGAACAAGGAAGACTTTTATTTCTCTGGTAATTTTATTTATTTTTCAATTCTATTCAACACTCTTTCACTTACTTTATAAACAGTAAATTCATTATTGTTAATTTTAAATACAATTTTTAGATACATTCAATTTAATTTATTCAAATTGTATCGATATTACTATTTAAATTAAATTTTTTTTTTATAAATAAAATATCCGAATTATAGGATAATATTTTAATAAAATAAAAAAAAATTTTTTACTTTTTTCTTATTGTATTTATTGAAACGATTGAATTGGTAAATTAGGGAATTAGTATTTATATATTTTGGTTGTAATAGTGTGAGAAGATATGACGTCAACGTTTGTGAAGCTCCACAAAAACCGATTGGGTAAAACTCATCGTGTAAGAGATTAGAGTAAATCCATCGACAAAACTGATAATACTCGCATTTCAGAGGTTTCACCTGATTAATACTCTTAATTTTATTGTGATTATATTATCACTAGCCATTTCAATTTATATTTTTTCGAAAATTTAACAATTCATGTATAAGGTATTATAGTTGACTACGGTAGGAAAAAAAAATTTACTTGTATTTTTTTATTGCAATAATACACGGAGCGTGACATTAATAAAAATATGTATAAATATTAAAGAATATTGTAAACTGCTCGAATAGTCGAATAGAGTAGTGCATAAACTCTGATGATGAGAATGCAGAGGAAAGGCGAAACGTGAAACACATTGGTGCTGTTGGTTTTGTTGTTTGCTCGTAATCACGGTTATTTAGTAAGCTCGTTTTCCATAGCTTCATTTGCTCTGCATACGTTTTTTAAATTTTTTTATTTTTTTACTTTTTACGATTCATTATACTTCTATGCACAAAATATTTTTTTATTTTCATTTTCAGGCTTTACCATTTATTATTCATTTTCATAATTCTACCAGATATTCATTATATACCTAGGTGGATCATAAAGAAGTAATAGATGGTCAAAAAAAAAAAAATGAAAAATAAAAAATAAAAAATAAAAAATAAAAAATAAAAAAATAACCGGTGGTAAAGACAAGAGATCCCGCGTGTACTCGACATTTTAAACTATATATATCATTATATTTATATTTATAAATCTTTTTTTGTTTTTGGTTTTAATTATTTATTTTTATCGCAGCAGCTTTTCTTGTATTTCATAACGAACCACAGAATTTATTAATCCAATATATTATCGTATCACATGATGCATATAATAAATAATAAATAATGCGCTAATAAATTTATAAATTTAGCGATGATAAAAATAACAAATAATTATGTACAGTGTACACACATCTTTCATTTATAAAAAAATTATATATTACTAAAAAGATTAATTAATAAATCATGCAAAGAGTTTATATTTGCATTTTAATAAATGGAAATTAATGATTGCAGTTGAATATTTATCGTTCAGTTTAAATGGTTTCCGGTGATAAATTTTTATTTTTCATTTTACCCGTGTATATCTATTTTATTGTTTATTCATTAATGTAATTGTACTTATTTTTAATTTATAATATCATTTAAATATAAATTTATAAAAATATTTGAACGTTTGAACTGTAATTTATTTTTAAATAGACTTATTGTTATTATTAACAATTAGTGTAACTTTGACCAAGAGGAATTGGTCTGTATGCAATAAGTACTTTAAGTATATAATATTATTCAGTGATTTGTTTCAATGTGAATGTTCTTCAAGAACTTTATTATATCGGACTTATTCAAGTTTCACGATCACTCTTACAAACTTATAAATTGTTTTATTGCTAAACTTTAAGAGAATAAAATTATTCAAATACTTATGATGATGATAATAATAATAATAATAATTATTATTATTATTATAATGATACTGGTTCGTCTGGCAGGAGGATAGTTTAATTTGTTATATAATTATTATTAATTTAAGTTTTAACAAAACTACTTATCCATAATTTTAATTAAAATAAAATATAATAAAAGAAAAATTAATAGACTTTGCAAAGTCAGTAATCTATAGTAAAAATAATAAAAAAAAAAATTGAGAGCACGTACGTAAAGTGGATGGAAAAAAAATCAACGTGACCTACCGACAAAAAGCATCTTTCTCTTTTGTTTGCCTCGGGCTTCCATTTCTCGATTGAAAATTTCCAATCACACGTGTGCTTTATTGAGCCATCGACTCTATCACCCTATCACCCTATCACCCTATCACCCTATATTTCATCTAGACTTTTTATTTAGAATAAATAATATTGCGTTTATACAAAATAACTTTCAATTAAACTATAATGTAATAACTCTTATCATAAATTGATTACTATTTTATGTTACAGATTACGAGATGATTCAAACTATTTAATGAATAATATATATATTTATTAAAATCATGAGGATAGCTTTAATTCTAGTGACTCTCGTGTTCGAGATAAATTTATACTTTACAGGTAAGACATAAAAATCTGTTATATAAATTTAATTTTATTATATATATATATAATATATTCGGTTATGGATCGTTGCTCAATTTTGCAAGAGAGTTGGATAGACGATACATAAATTTGGTTAACGAAATATTTGCGAAAACTGGAAAAGATCCAATAGTCGTTCTGCCGTTCCGCCGTTCCGCTGTTACGTCATCGTAATCTCATGTATATTATTGTATTCTTCTTTTTTGTTTCTGTGGAGAAACTCCAGTCTTTTGAGACTTTTAAGCTATCGGAAATAAAAATCTCGGAGCCAAAAAACTATTTATTACTTTTAATACTTTTATTTTTTTTATTATTATTAAAAAGAATTTAAGTTAAGTAAATACACACACAGCGTTTATCGTGGTAAAAGCGGTTAAAATGTCTAACAAGTTATATAATATTAGTATAGAGTTTACAATAAAAATAGTTTAGTTGAATAAATAAAAAATAAAATCAGACTTGAAAAGTTATTTCTGAATGGGGGTTAATGGATTGAAGGTGTTTGTAAATCCTAACTTACTGACTAGATAGTAGTTTATATGTAGACACAATTCATATCATCAAGTTAGCGGTACTCCTTCTCAACTCCTATATACTTACAGTAAAATAGGCTTTAAAGTTGACGACGTGACAAACAGACCAACACCTGATTATGAATTATGTCAATGAGGATATATAACTTTAATAATAAATTATACATGCGACGCACAGTATACTTTGTCTTGATTTAGCGAGTCTACCACTAAAGAGGATTTCGTTTTATTTTTTTTTTTTTTTTTTTTTTTAATATATGTATATATTTAAACAATTAACATTAGCATGAATACCCCTGAGCCCCTGATCAGTGACTGATGCTCTAGTTAATGAGTAAATATCCACTTAGATTGCTCATTTAATTGTTAACTCACCGAAATAATTATACCTCAATATATACACATTACTCGTTAAATTAATTATAATCGACCTTTAATTACGGTTAAGTGGGCTAAAATTTCCAGCGACAATTTAATGGAAATGCTACAGATTGATATCTTTGTCGATCCATGGATAAAAATTTAAAAATAAATACTTTACCGACATCTGCTATGCGGTAAATAATGTCTAACTTTATTTATATTAGATATACATATAATCTAACCAAAGAATCTTCCCTTTAAATTAATTTAACAAAACTTTTGGTATATTGTCTCGGTATCTTATTCGGTCTTATATATGTATTCTATTATAAAGTTTATTCAATTAACTATAATTATTGTTTAAATAATATTATATTTATTGACAACTCGTTGCTTATAAATTTATAAATAATATTTATTAAATGATACAGAAAGCAAAGCAATGCAGCAGCAGCAGCAGCAGCAGCAACAGCAACAGCAACAACAGAAGAAGACAAATGGTGATAATGCTCTTGTCTCGGCAAATGAGAATAATAAACCCGCTGAACAAGTAGTTGGAGCTCGAGCACGTGAAATAGTCGCACAGAAAGGTGGAACTGCAACATTACCGTGTAAATTTAGTGAACCTGGAGCGGGAATTGTAAGTATTTTTTATTTTTTTTTCTTGCTTTACTTTTTATTTTATTAATTATCATATAATTACTCAGTAATAGCATCAACGTTTATTAGATTTTATTTCATTTTAACTATTTATTGGAGAAAAAATATATATTATAAAATGTATATATTTATTGAAGCAAAATATTTCTCATGAAAATGCAAAGAGAAGGAAAAAATATAGGGAGAACAATATCTGTCGATAATAATACTTTAAAAAGAGGACATAACTTTTGTCTTTCTTTTTTTTTTTCTAATTTAATCTTGATATAAAGATTACTCATCAGTCATCATCATAACTTTTATTTATATTTCTTTCATTTTTATCTCACAAATATTTTTCATCCCCCTTTCATATATTTATCAAAGTTGAGACAATTAATAATGTATAATGCGTATTTCTATTATATAGATGTCAGACTACAGTAAATTCTATAAAATTTGATAAATAAATACTTAAAGAATAATCGGTGTATGAAATATTATATATTATTAGGAAGGTTAATTTTTAAGTAATCTATTTTATTGTCGATATATATGAAAATAAATTTAACCAGATCGTATAGTGAAATTTATATTTTACAATAATTTATCAGAGTATCATTTAAATTTATCTGTTAGTTTATAAAAAAGTATAAGTTATCAAAGGATGGAATATGTTAATTAGTGGTACTTGTAATTAGTTTGTCAGCAAGTTTACATCGAGATTACATCAAGTTTTAACATAGCGCAACTCCCGCTACACGATTGTTAATCACAATAATTTATAAACTGTCAGACAATTTTATGGCAACATCCTATCCTACTGTCCTTTCCTTTACTTTTTCGTTCATTAATTTCTATTAATTAAACCATAAATAATAACTAATTATCATTTTATTTCAACAAACTATTGGTACTGTTAATTAATATCATATCTCATTATAATAATAATAATAATTATTATTATTATTATTATTATTATGACTGCGAGTGTTAACATTTCAGCTGTTTATAAATCAAAATATAAAAATTATTTTTTTTAACCTTTCCTAATTAATTTTACATTATCTCGATTATGGTAAATCTATAGTTTGAATAAAATTCATCTTAAATTACAAGAAGGAAGATGTTATCAACAGTAAAATTATAGAGTGACAGCTCTGAAAGCGATAAATTTTAAATATTAAATATTTAAAGAAAAAGTAATAAAGATAAAATAGAACAAGTACTGACGCAGCTTAGCACTCGGTATTAATAATTATATTTTAATGGTATAAAACGATCTCGACGTTTTAATATCGATTTATATTTAATTTTTGAACTGAATATAAATAAATTTTGATAAAAATAGATTGATGATCATTTAAATCTGCCATGTTATATTTTCACATAATGTGCTTTTAACACAATAAGTCATAACTTTACGGAATTGTAATATTAGTTTCAAAATTGATTTCGATCGTCGATAAAATATACGATGATATTATAAATGTCATATTTTGACAATAAAATATCACCTTAGCTGTCAGACTATAACTGTAACTGTGTCGGTGAAAAAATTATTATTATTTAATGTACCTATCAATGAAAATTAATTAACACTGAAATTAGTTTTTATTTTTATTTTTGACAATTAAACTATAGTGAGCATAGTAAAACAGTATTTTATTTAGGTAGAATAAAGGTACGATCATTATTAGATCGACCAATCGAGGATTGAGTAATTCGAAAAACTAAATAGAGCGAGTGTAGTTAAGACCATGTATATTGTAGATAGTTTTTATTAGTGATTACCATGCACGTGATAACGCGATAAGACAAAATTACTTGGTATAAGTATAAAAATCTCACGATTACATTATTTTAAAACAGTAAATGCTGCTTATTAAAACAACAGTCTAAAATTACTATTAATTTTATTGTTTTATCTTGAATTAAACAATAAATTTATTAATCGTTTAGATGATAAAAATTAACTAAATAATCCGACTGAAATACATGGAGTATATTTTTTATGTATTAATTGAATTAAAACGATATTTTTATTTTTTATTTAAAATGTGTATCGGATTCTGTAATTCGATAAAATCCCCTTTTACTGATTTATATTAAGTTTAAACTCCTCTTAAAAATTTTAAGCTTTTAAACGGTTGAAATATTTCAAAGTACTTTTTTAGTTCTCGACAAGTGCTCGACAAAGATACATTTTATATATTTTACAAGTACAAATGACTCGAAAAAATATATAAAATTAGTATAAATGAGTTTATCAAAGGATTAAAAAAAAATTTTAATATTTTTTATCGTGGATAATAAAATAATTGAGGATGCGTGACTATTTAAGTTATTGATATAAATAACGAGGAATATAATTATGGATATCAAAGGCACAATGTTTGCTATAACATTTATCGCTTTGTCTATACATCATCAGTCATACTATTATCACTATCAGTTGGCGCACGCGATTACAATAATAGTCCTGACAGCAGAAATAACTTTTATCGTTATGTATTTTATACAATCACGCGTTTATACCAATATACTATAATGACCTTTTCGGTGATTATTCGCTAAAAACTAAATCAATTTTTCACTCTATTATTGTTATTGTTTCAATTGTGTCAATGACTAAGTATTTCTAAGAGATAATTAACAATAACTCATAGAAGGAAGGTAAAGGGTAAGGGTAAGGGTAAGGGTAAGGAAGGAAGGAATCTTGGTGATACGATATTGAAATAGCTGAATAATCCCGGCTGGTTATGCCACCAGGTTATGCATGGTTCTCACTAATCCAGGTCCCTATATATAATAATAGTATTCTCGAGATGAGCGACCAGAGAGGAGGAAAGAGAGGAGGAGTAGCTACTGATTTTAGTTTCGCCCGGGCAAACCTCATCAACACCCACCAGGTTAAGATCTTACAGCTTATAAAGCTCACAGTTGCACAGTTATACTGTCGAATTACAGGCGCTTACATTCCTGATAGAGACAACTTTATGTACCATATACTTACTTTTATTATTATTATTATTATTATTATTACTCTAGTTTAGCTTAATTAATCAATTCGAATAGAGTTTGTCTTTTACAACTTAAATAACTTAAAATAGCGTGTGATGGAACGATTATATAATAATATTCTCGATTTAGCTAAAATTTATTCTCCTTTTAATACTTAATTTAAATCTTCAATTATATACTGGTTGATTGATTATTTATTAATACAAAACATAGAAATTTTATTTATTAAACTTTAATTACATTGATTAAAAAGTTGCGACCCGAAACATTTTAAATTAAATATTATTATTAATAAATTTAAAAACAAGTGATAAAACTCTATATAAAGTTATATACTCGACACAGTGACTAATTAAACTATAAAAGAAAATTAAAAAAACTCTGGTATATTTTTTTTATATATTAAAAAGTTTAATTAAAAATACATAATGCACATTAGCAGTAATATTTTTAAATAAGTGTTCTCGAAGAAATTTGTTAGCCTCGGTCTTTTTATATTCCTTTTTATTAAAAATTAAACTGGTTATTCTTGAAGGATTTCAAGTGTGATGAATTAATCAACGAAAATTTGTTTAAAAATAGATGATTGATTCTTCTCTAACTGATAGTTAAAGTCATCAAGAATAATATCGATTAAATAATTAAAGACAATATAGTATAAATCGATGAGAATAAAATGTTGGGTTTTATAACTTGTGTTGATAAAATAAAATATGTTACTGTTACTGTTATAGGTGACGTGGGTAAGAAGGAGAGATAGACAATTGCTGACTGTAGGAACGGCAACACATTCTGTGGATACCAGATTTATGATTAGAGTATCCAGCGCTGACTGGGCACTTGTTATTCGTCATGTAACACTCGATGATGCGGGTCTTTACGAGTGTCAGGTATTAAATAACTAACTAAATAAATAAATATAATAATAATAATTATTATTATTATTATTAATGAATGAATGCAGATTGCAACGTATCCAGTAGAGCAACACTTTGTACGTCTGGCAGTAACAGAAGCCTACTCGGTGATCCCGGGCGGTCCGGATCTCCATGTTAAACAGGGCTCGAGTTTGAAACTAGAGTGCCAGCTGATGGCAGCCACCGAGCCACCCAATTTCGTATTTTGGTATCTGCAAGGCCGAATGATTAATTACGATGCGGATCCTTTGGTTAAAGTTGAGCTAACTGAGAATGGATCTATTCTCAAGGTTGATAAAATAAAAACGACTCACGGTGGAAATTATACCTGTTTACCCAGCAATGCTGAAGCATCTTCCGTAAATATTCACGTTATAGAAGGTAATTTTATTATTATTATCATTATTCAAGTTATTTGAATAATAAAAGTTTATTTGAAACAACAGAAGAAGAAAAACCAGCTGCCATGCACGGTGGTGACAGACGGAACCCGAGCCCAGTGATACTTGCAAGTAACTTTCTGGCTTCGTTGTTGGCCACCGTCAGCTGGAGGATACCAACATTCTCCAGTCTCTATCCAACGTGAACTTACACACGCCACTAGTCACTTTTCTATTATTATTATTATTATTATTATTATTATTATTATTATTACTACAATCATTATACGATAAACTGTAAATTTATGTGCATGCGTGCCAAGTTTTATTGTTATTTTTTACAATTACCGGGTTATTTTTAATAACTCAGTCACACCTTGATTTATTTATATTATTTATAAGTTGTTGACTTAGCCGTGGGCTAATTGCTTATAAATTCAATCACTTTAAATATGTGAGAATGTTAACTATAACGAAAAAAAAAAAAAAATCAATAATAACGATGATATTAATAATAGAAAAGTTTAATGATTTTTATTTTACAAATTGGGTTGTGAAGAATATTAAACAAATATAATTTAAATATCCTCGATGAAGGGAAGCCTTCCAATAAAATAATAACAATAATAATAGCAATTTAATATAACATGGAAGGGCTTTCCTTCGTTCGATTTTTACTAGCTTAATTATTTTTTTTATTTATATAAATATAAAATGTTGTTTATTTAATTATTGTTATTTTTTTTGATAAAGCTTTTAAAATTTTTTTTATACTGTACAAACTTTTAACCTTAATGAAAATTCAACGTTAATTATAAAAATAAAGTTTTAATATTATCCGACGAATTTTTTAAACTCTTCAAAAGCTACCAAATTCCTTTTAAAATATTTACTAATGTTTTAATTGATATTATATTATATGATTAACAATACTTGAGTATAAATCATCAATAATGTATGTAAATATAATGAAAAGAAAAAAAAAATTTTGAAAAAAAATCTAATAATAAATACTTTAATGTCATATTATTATTATTATTATTATTATTATTATTATCATTATTTATATTTATTCCGTAGGTTAATCATTTTTATTGTGTATTTATATTTTTTTAAATAATTAAAAGTTAATGCTGAGAAGGATACTATGAGAAGAATAACTTACAATTAGGAAAATAAATTAAAAATAATAGCCAAGCCATATATATATATATATATATTCATTTGTACTCTGGCGTAGTTAATAAAAGTTGTACCACCTTGTATAAAGGCACAAACGACGATTATTTTTTATTTTATTAACTACCAACGGGCTTTAAATACCGTTTGAGTAAAAGTTAAATTTTTCCGGTGATAAAACTTGAGCTTTTAAGTACCTTGGTTTTTTTTTTCTATTTTATGCTTTTATCTGTTATAAATTGAATTATAATTTAAAATGAAAAATATAATTAATCATTTTTAGTCGAAAGTTTATCAAGTAGTTGGCAGTTAAATGATCAGATGATTACAGAGAGTGTACTGAGTGTACTAAATGTACAAAGTGGTATAAAATAGTATTGTCTTTAATAGGATTGTATGCTGGGGGAAAGATATATAGGATAATAATGTGGAGGAATTGGAGCTGAGTCTGGGTAGGTAACGGGTAACGAGTCTACAAACATATTTGTCCCAAGTGAATGCACGCAAGAGTACTCTGTGTAAACAATAAAGTATGTTATGTATTAGTCAAGTAAGCCAGTTAACCCACGAAATATTACCCTATACTTATACATAACTCACTTTTGTAAATTCTTCCTTTTCCGGTCGCTTAATTAAACCACCAATTATACTTTAATGTTATTTTATACGGCTCACTATTCACTCGGTTAGTCAATTACTTTTTAATTTTCAAATTAAATGAAAAATTCTTTCGTTCAATTTACAACATTAATAACATCAACTAAAGAAAAATTTCCTTTTACAATATTTTACAATTTAAAAAATCATAAATAAAATCGTTATATTAATCAAGTTAAAGCTTTAGTAATAATTAATAGCATTTAGGATTTATAATGACAACCGAAAAAGTTTTAAAGTCGGAGAAAAATTATAAAAAGAAAAAAAAAAAAGTCTTACCCTACAGTTACATAAGTAACGTCTAATTAAATTGGGATTAAAATTTGAATAAACTTGAGACTCTCTCGAGTTAAATTAGACAAGTATATATAAATGTTTATACTGGAGTAGAAAAAATTTAAAGTTTAAAATCAAATTTGCATTTTGTCTGCCGGTTTTAAATCTTCAAGTTTCATTTTCTAGTCGTACTCTTTATCAGATAAAAAATTCAGTGACAATAATTAAGTGGTTATGGAGCCTTTACCTTTTCCTTTTTGTTTTTTATTTCCTTTACGTTTGCCTTTGCCTTTACCTTTACCTTTACCTATACCTTTACTTTTGCCTGTGAAACTCGAGCATAGTCTAACCGACTGGATATGAGTCCTTGGGGTCTCGTTTTTTTTTTTTTTTTTTTCCCAACACCCTCTTCAAGAGTTGCGGGCTCGAGGGTTGCGGTGTATTTTCAAGAGTAGATTAACTGCTACTTCTCTACTATATCTTTTTCCCACTGCTATTAAATTTTATTGATAATTTTATATATTTATATAAAAATAATGATAAGCAATAACATTTATACTGTTTTATTATATTATTTAAATCGTTATTTTCCTCCTCAAAAAACCTTGACCTATTTTTTATTTAAATTAACCCGTGAGTTGAAAATAATATTTGAATGTATTTCTGTAAGTATAAACCGCAATCACTATTCGGATGAGGTGAAAGTATATAAAAACAATTAAATAAATAAAACTTACTTTTAAAATTGATACTATTTATTCATTTTATAAATATAGATTAGTGTAGAAAAGTTTAAATGAGCGAAAAAACTAAAAGTTGAGGAGTAAAAATAAAAAATGGTGAGTGTACGGAAGAGGTAATAGAGTTTTATAAAATTAACATTCATTCCCCTAAAAGTCCCGGCTATTTTAGACAATATAAATGGTAATTGTGTTAATTTTATTGTTACAACTTCTCTTTTTCCTTTTTCCTTTCTCTCAACTTTGACAATTTCAAAACTTTAACACAAAGCATCACAATTAATTGTCTAAATAACAATTGCTAATTTACTAGATAATAAAAGTATATAATTTTATTGAATACGCGGTAATAATTTACTAACTGCATAATAATAATAATAATAATAATTGATAACAATGCTTTTGGTGTAAAAGAGCGGAGAAGCAACCGCAGAATAGAGAATAAGGTCAAGTGATGAGAATTTAAATAGATCATAAAGCTTGTAACTTTTTTTTCACAATTTACTTGTTTTCAATCGACTTTAACGTATTGAATATACATTATTTACATTTTCTCTTACTTTTAAAATAACATATTATTTGATTAATAACTTTTATAGATTAAATTATAAATAACAGAGTTAAAAGTAAGTCAAAATAAATTAAAATTATATTTATTTTTGACAAATACTACGAGGATTATGTTTAATACTATACTATTTGTGCATGAAGAGAAAAAGAGATTAATACGAGAGTTAGTAACAAGCAACATATATCATATATTGGGGATGTTATTTACAGAAGTTAATTAACGTTTAATTTGGTGTACATCAGCGATTCTGAGAGATTACTAAATAATATTTTCTAAATTTATGTCGAAAATCTCAGATTAAAGGTAATTAACGACTGACAACATAGTTAATAATAACAACTAGTATATCTTGATTGAATAAACACATTGGTAGTAAATAGGTGAAATAGAATAAAGCTCGTACTGGTGAATTAGAGCTGAGAAAGACAAAAAGGAAGAACACAGTAAGCACAAAAGGGGCTGGCTAACCAACCGCCTGGAATAATCCTCACGACGAGTTTAAAGTCTGCGACAACGCACTACGTGACTAGAATTATTATTATATATCTTTCGAGGTAATTTATTTTATTTTAATTGGATCGTGCTGTTGTCGTTATATATCCTTATATATAGTTTAACTGGACATAATCGGCTGTACTTGACAACTCGATAAGAATTATTATTGTTATTTAATTTATTAAACTCATAAATTCAATAATTTCTATTTCTCGTTTGTATTTTTGTATTATTTTAAACCAATTGATTATATTTCTATTTATTCTGTAAAGTATAACAACTAGGAACCAGAGCAAAAGCTTTAAAAGATCTGCTGATAATAAATAAAGCTAACTTTTTCTCTTAAAATTATATTTTTACTTAACAACCTCAGATAAGTTATCATATGATTGTATAACATACCAACTACAACCCTTATGTACAACCAGCTGAGGGTAGAAACGGCTTTTCAACCCTCGATAAGGGTAAAATCCTTTTTATCAACTATTGAAATGTGTATATATTTTACTATTGCATCTGTAAATTTTATAATATTTAAAATAATTAATAATTTATGATACCTAGTGAGATATTAAACAGAAAAAATAAAATAAAATAATCTTTACATATTATGAAAATAATCGTGTGAAAAGTTTAATAATAAGTTTATTCCTAATACAATATACTTACAAAGAAGATTATTTATTTATTTATTTATTTATTTATTTAGTTAGTTAGCATTGCATATAATAACGTGTATACATATAACTGAGTAGAGAAATAGAACAATAATTAGCATATTCATGAACACAGCATCCTTGTACCTGTTTGGGAACGTCAAAATGCGCAGCAAGTGGATTTCAAAGTAAGATGAGCCTAGCTCTTAGTAAGAAAAAAATAATAATAAAATATACGTCTAGGCATCTCTCTATAGTTTCTATAGAGTTTCAGTTATCCTATTTATTTAAATTTTTGCCGAATCAATCAAAGATAAAATTTTGAAAAACTTATAAATCAGGTGTATAATTATTATTTAGAAAGGATAATTTGTTTTTATGGAAAAGCGCAGCAGTATAGTATTAATCCACACCATTTACAGGTTTTATCCTTACGGTAGGATTTATTTGAATCTTTTTCTCTTTTCTCAGTGGAGTTCCATCCTCACCCACTGAGGTGCGATATAAGTCTAGATTAAAGAAGCCTTATAAATACTCGGGCATTCATTTCTGAATAATCCAACGGTTCAATTATTTAATTTACATGGATCCGTATAATCGTTTGCCAACAAAAAACGAAAAAGAAATAAAAATAATCCAGTAAATAATTAAACATTACTAATTTATTTTTTAATCGGTCAAATAAATTATTTTTTTTTATTAATATATAGTAGAGAAATAAATAGGTCACATGTATATCAAAGAAAAAAAAAGATTAACGCACCCTCTTATTAGAATTATCATTAACTTAATGTCACAAAGCCATGCACGGATCACAAATACTTGAAATTTTTATTTTTCACTTAACATTCTCTTTTTATCCCCAACAAAAAAAAAAAAAAAATCATTTATTATTAAATTTACTTATTATCAAAGAGTATATAAAAAACAATAAATAAATGAAATAATCCGTGCTGGTAATATTATTAATCGATGATATTCAATACATAAATGATTAATGATCAAATGAGCTTTAAATTTAAACGATATTTGAATTTATTAATATTAAAAAGCGCTCTTGCGTTGTAAATTGTATATACCTATTGTAATCAATGAGTACATTGTTACGTTAATTAATGATTCAAAAGAGATGAATTTGAGGTATGACCAAACACACATTGTTTAATAATATCGGTATTGGTATAAATAGAGATAACATTTGCAGTTATTAAAATAAAATATTTTATGTGACAATCGCTGTTTAAGCTATATTACTTGTCTGACTATAAGTGAACTTTTCTACTTAAACATTGTAAGTATCAACATAGTTATAGATTCTATTTAATGAAAAATATATTTGTCTTATAACGATTAACGATTAACGATTAACGATTAATGATACATACAAGAGGAATAGTTTTTTAATTTTTAATAGGTGTACAGGTGGATGAATAATTGAAGATAGAAAAAAAAAAAAAAAAAAAAGAGTGCTTAAATGTTGTCGACACGACACTAGAATTAACCGTCGAAAGTTTCAATGAATTTTCAAAGTTTGAAACAAGACTAAAATGAGCCTTCAAAAGTTGCTCGGAGAAAGTAAAAGGAAAGAAGAAATAACAAAAAAATAAAAAAAAAAGTGTTGAATCTCATGGAATCGTGATGCTGCCAAAATCTCAAACAATCACGAACATCGTGAATATTCGGCTCACACCGTTTGGGTGATAACTCTTAATGAAATTTTTTTTTTTCGTTTACTTTCAAAAAGTTAAATCTCTACGGACTAATGTAAAGTTAAGAAAGTCACCGGGTTTATCATTATAAAGTTGACTTTTGTGTCAAGGTAAATATTTAAATCATACGTTTAATTAATTATACGGATAAATAATGATACTGCTGTTGATACTTGATTAAAACTTTGTATACTCTTATCGTTTTTTTTTTTTTTTGCTTTTTTATTCTCAATTCATTTTATTTAATATACAGTGTAAATAAATACACAGATGTGATGATATTAAAATATGTTTATATTTTATGGTTCAGTCGCTCGGAAAATAAATGACTAACGAGGCTGATGATTGTCAAAGTTTCGATAAATAATTGGTATTTTATCCCAAGACCGTTGTTACCTATCTTCCATTTATTTATTTTTTAATAAAATTTTAATCAAAATTAAATCATCAGCTGTCACGGTTTTAATTACACAAATTAACCATATTGATAATTCGTTAATTTAGATATAAATTTATTAATTGCTGATAATTGATGTATATAATTTAAATATTATATTTCAACGAAACTCTTGACGTTATGTTTTTATATTTTAATGATTTTTTTTTTTTTTTGTTAATAACTAAAATAACGATAGATTACTTACAGTGATTCATTAAAGTGTTTGGTAAACTTTAGTAAACTTGTAAACACTTTGAGAACTTGGTTACCAGACTTTGGCTTTATCGATTAAATTACAACACTGTGTGTGATTACGTAGATTTTAATTAATTATTTAAAAGAAATCATGAAAGCTATTTTTTTTCATTATTAATTTTTTTTTTTTTTTTTTTTTTTTTTTACAATTAATATTTGTTATTAAAAATTTAATAGTAGATTAGTATAAATTAGTACAAATGTTTGACCATTAGTCGTAATATTTACGAGTGTTCCCGAGAATTATTTGAGTCTTAAAATACACAGTGGAATTTATAAATGTTGAAATAAATTTTTCATTAAATCTTTCACAATTAGTTCAAATTTCTGTAATAGTGAACGCCTGTAACGTTAAAAAAGTAAAATATTGGTTAATAAAAATGATTGGGTTAGGTGAACCGTGAACGTGAACGAAATAATAGACAAATAAATGGCATATGAGATTGAATTTTAGTTATATTACATTTGAAAAATACTTCAAGATACGATTTTTAAATTTAGTAGTACTAAAATGTTGAGAGACTTGAAATGAAATATATATTCGGATATCAACGACAAATAAATTATATTTAAATTTATCTGGTGACGTTTATCTAAATGGATGGCCGATGGACGTTGTGATTTTATGCTCCCATTACTATAGTAGTTACTGATGCTGTTCTGTTTAGTTTAACTTACAAGATACAAGTCAATATTAATAGGGTGACGGTATAACACGAATCCAATGATAATTCAATAATAATTGGAATAGCCTTATATAACACCGCAAATAACTCTAATAAATTAATTTCTCATCATCACGTTGATTAACGTGTTGACATATTTATTGTAATTAACATTATTAAATATGACGCTTTATGTCATAGACCATCAGCTATCAGTCATCAACTATCATCACCGTGTTTCATAAGTATATATCACTATATATACTAACAAATATAAATAATGCTGTGAAGCGGGAAAGAATAGGAGTTACGGATAATTATTACGTGAAGCGTTCCAACATTCACGTAACAGGATATTTTGGTAGGAAAGGATTGAGAAAGGATTGTGGAGAGGATCATCTTAATGTGAGTGTATAGAATATGTGAGAAAAAATTATTAGATAGCTCGGACTGGGATTCGAACCCAGAACCTTCCGAAGACATGTCGGCTATCTACCATTTGAGCTATCCGGTCTATACTAAATTTCCTTTCACTTATTCTATATACATTAAGCCACACCGTCCATCTTACGGCTAGCATTTTTAACAAATATAAATAATGCTGTGAAGCGGGAAAGAATTTAGTAAACTAAATCAATATCTTATACAAGAAATAGTTATTGTTGTTATCAAATTTTTTATTACTTTTATTTGAATGAAATAATTGAGAGAATGTGTTCGTGCTGATCTAAAATGAAATCTAATACATAGCATATATATATATATTCTTCTGGCAATTCAATTTCAGTTCTCTGAACTTTCGTCTTGTGTATTCCAACAGTTTTAGATGATTTAAACTTTTTTAATGATAATTCCTCATTTGTAAATATAAATATAAATCTATGATGATCTCAAAAGTTTACAAAGTACAATATACATTAGATAAGTTCAATTAAAAAATGATATTGGAGTAAAATGAAACAAAGTTTACTCAAACTTGCTAGTTATTATTATTATTATTATTATTATTATTAATATGTTATAGTGTAGTAATAAGTTATTGCCAAATATCATCTCAAGGGATCTTTCATAAGGCACACGACAGTCCTCAACCATCACCAATCTTATTAATTTATTTACTGTATATAGTAAACATAAGGGATTCTAAGTAAATAAACGGATTTACAAAATCAATCTTGTATAAATAAATATCAATTTTGATACTTATTTTCAAGTGCTGTCAATAACATTCAATGTAAATATATTTTTTACTTTTTTTGTTAAATTAAATAAATGTTTGATTGGCACTCTATTGTTTTTTCTACTGAATAATATTTATAAGTTATTATAGTCATTAAATTTTAAATAATAATTATTCAAACACATGGTTTTTTTTTATTATTTTACGTTTATTGAAAAATATTTGAAAATTCATTCCGAGATTAAATATTTACCAGACGTAATTCATTTGAACTTTTTTCATATGTAAATCTGTCATCTCGTCAAAGTACTTTTCATACAGAGTTAATAAAAAAAAATTCATAATTATCAGAGTTTTTCGTTATTTTCTTTTTAACTGATTCATAAAATAATTAATCACACTGACAATATTTAAAAAGCAATAAATCAAAGTATTATTGACTAATTATCTGAAAAAATGAATGAAATGATTTAGTTGTCAGTGAAAGAATAAAATGATAAAAACATTAATAAGGATGATTGTTGAGAGTATATAGAGATGGTCTGATGGTCTGATGGTCTGATGAGCTGATGGGGTATATAGTGATGGTGGTGGTGGTGGTGGTAGAGGTAGTGATAGTAGGGATAGAAATCGAGGATTGGTATAGAGTGAGCTTTTGCGAGGGGTTGAAACGGCGCCGAACGTCCCCTTACACGTCGGCGTTGAGGCCTGGTAGAAACACCAGACAGCCAGTCGGTTGCCGTACACGTTCATCGTCGCACGCTGTTATTCTTTTATTATTAACAATGAGTACCACGAGACTCAAACTCCCTTCAAACCTTCATTATTATTTTTATTTTTATATATAAATTTAACTATTATTCCTGACTTACTTTTAGTAATTATTTTAAATTTTAAAGATTAAAAACTAAAATAGTGCACTGTAATTAATATATGATTAATTTTTTTTTAACCGGAGATATTTTTTTTGTTTTTGATTTTATTTTTTTTTTTTTTTTTTTTTTTTTTTTTTTTTGGTGATGAAAGTTTAATGCCCCAAAGCAAGAAATAAGGTACAGGATAAAGATAAAGATAAAATTTATGAATAACCAAAAAGAATAAGTAAGAATAATAAAAGTTTAAGTATAATGAAGAGAAAAAGAGAAGAAGAAGAAGAAGAAGAAGAAGACGAAGAAGAAGAAGAAGGGACAGCAGTAGGAAAAAGATTGTCGATTAAGGTCAATCGAAGTTGATAGCTGCTTCTCGGGCAAATCTTAGAGTGGAGAAACATTAAAGAAGTTGTTTTTTTACCTTTTACTTTCTATCTTACACCATTGGAGTGAATGTTACAAGTTGAACTGTTGATCTGTTCACTTATGCTACTGCACACCTCAACTTTAAATTACCTTATTAAAAGTGACTATCAGTGACTAAAAACTAAACTCGGTTGTTATTATTAAGTGTGTAGGGGTGTATCGATGAATAATTATTATAAATTTAAATACATCTTGGGTATGAATAGATAAAAATATGATGATTACCGCAATATTGTTCAAGATCTAAAGCTCTGACGGTATAATAGTAATAGTAATAATATAAGGGTGTGAGGGTATAAGAGTATAAAAAGTATAAAAAGTATAAAAAGTGGTTATATACATATAAAGATATAAAGATGCAGTGTGATGGGTGACGCCTCGAGCACTATTGAAATTTTATGACGAGACGAAAAAGAAAAAAAAAAAAATGAAAAAAATGACAACGCAAGCTCTAAGCGCAAGAGATGTAACAAGTTACTGGTTTATAGGCGTCACCCTAGTGTGACTCCTCGTCAGATCAGGATTGCACAGGATAAATTATTAATTAATCACTTGATTTAGTTTTTAAATCATTTTTATTTTATTATTTATCGTTATTAAAGACTTTAAACTCAACACTCACCATCACTGGTAATTATTATTATTATTATTATTTCTTCTTTTTAATATCTAACAGAAAATTTATTTCTATTATTTAAATGCTAATGATAAAATAATATCATTTAAAAAGTCATTTATTAAATTTTATGTTATTTTGAGATTTTATAAATGTTAATTTAAAAATAATAAAAATGAGAATTCTCTTGGTAGAATATTTGAATTGTAAAATGACTTGCGGCTTAACTCTATCAGTGCTCAATCTGTGGAAGAAAAAAAAAATATTATTTAGATTAAATTTACTTTTTAAGACGTCAGTAAGAGTTTAACTAAAATAGATAATAATTTTTTTGTACTTGTTGGTGGAAATACATTAAAAAGTTTGCAGAGGATTAATTCTTTTGCATCGAGCCAATATTAAAAATCTACAATTACTAAGTTGCTCAACTATACCGTCTTGAAATATATATATATATATATGTATATATATTTATAATTTATAAATATAAATATATATTTATAATAAAAAAATAATAATAATCTGAAATGAAACGACAGAGCTGAGTTGGAGTCACTTAGTCGTTAATTATCTTCACTTGAGTGACTTTATTGATTCAAATTAAACTCCCTCTCCTTTTCACTGAGAACCTTCTCACTCAGTTTAATATTAAGGTTGCTATAGCACATAAACATATATATATATATATATATATATATATATATATATATATATATATA